AAGGAGCGGGCAGAAGCGACAAGGTTCCACGTGGTCATTAGAGAACTGCAAAACTCTTGTTTACAGATGTCACTCACACTTTTGCTTGCTGTGTCTTGTTTACTTCAAACGTTTACACGAAACGTGACCGACAAGCACGCTTCTTGTGGAACTGTCAATGTTCATTTGCTGTTCATAAGATTTCACTTTCAGTTGTGAGTCTTGCGCCCGTGGAATGACGACAGTGGTTGACAGCAGTGCACACTTTAATGCACGGTTGGCAGAGAGCGGCCTCACTCAGACTGTCATTGACAGCATTTGTGCTGCTGGAGTTGACACATTATCGAGACTAGCATTTGCTGTCGGACAGCCAAACCAACCTTTGAGCAACGATGAGGTGGCCAATTTTCTCCAAAGTGCACTGGGCAGAGCGCCAAGCCTGCTTGAAACAGCCACCATCAAACGTGTGGCATTTGAAGCCCAGACCTATCTGGTCGCAAGCCTGCGGCAGAGCCTTGAACAGACAGATGAAAGCATACCCAGGAAGATCGCCTTTGCTGAGCGAAATGCCCGCATGAATACAATCAAAACGGCCTTGGCTGGAATCAACATCCAAGGCGAGCTGGAGCCGGCGCACCTAGTCCTGGACAAGGCTTGTGCATTGTACGAGAAGAACATTGTATCCTATCTTGAGCCTTCATCATGCGTGAGCAGAACACACGAGGTGCAAGGGACAAAGCAGACGAGAGAACTCAGTCTGGAGAAAGGCTCACTGGTGCTCAAACACCAGGAGAATTTGAGCAGCCCAACCGACAGTGAGATCAAGTTTCATAATGCCATGATGCGACGAGGAATCAGCTTGCAGTTCGCCCGAATCATGTCTCATGCCCAGCATATGGAGTGGAGCTCCTTTCTGTTTGAAGCCATTCACAGAGACCCACCGCCGGGTTACAGCAGACCATCTCTTGCCCAACTGCTGCAATGTGACAGGGCAGCATGGACGAGGTTGGCAAGCTCTTTGCCAAGTATCAGGCAAGACGACACAGGGCGATATCCTTTTGGGGAAGCATTGTTGAACCTTCGGCATGATCCATACATTGTTCTTTACTTGGCACCTTTGGCCAAGGCGCAGAGTGCACATAGCGATTCCTCAGGCCGAAGACCAACCCCGTATGGTGGTCCTTGGCAGGACAGAGGTGGCAAGGGCAAAGGAAAGAGCAAGAAGGGCATGGGCAAAGGCTCCAAGGGTTCACCGCCTATGCCAAAAGAGTTGCATGGCAAGTGGCACAAGAACTCACAGGGAGACCCGATTTGCTTTGCCTACAACACCAGTCAGGGCTGCCAGGAGAAGAACATCAAGCCCGGAGAACGCTGTCGGAAAGGGCTTCACATTTGCGCAGAGCCCCGTTGTCAACAAGCCCATGCTCTCCATGAGCATGGAAAAAAGTGAAAGCGAGTCAGCTTAGTCCCACGTGATTGGACCAGCACACACGTGGGGCAGACATGGATGCTGGAAGTTTTTGCGGGGTCAGCTATCTTGTGTTCTATTGCAAAGCAACTTGGAATGCAGGGGAGCCTAGCAGTGGACAAAGTTCAGAAGAAAGGAGCACGGGCCAGTGTGATCCGACTGGATCTCACACGAAGTGTGGATTGCATGTTGCTTGACCAGTGGCTCGAATCCGATTTGTTGATCTGGGTCCATATTGCACCCGTATGCGGCACTGCATCACGGGCCAGGGAAATCCAACGACATCCCTCGGACCCGAAACCTCTGCGCAGTGGTGATTACCCAGACGGCCTGCCCGGTCTGCAAGGGTCTGAGTTGTGCAGAGTTCGCATTGCCAACCACCTTTTTCAGTATGCCTTTGACCTTTTTGCAAAAGCAACAAAGAAAGGCATTTTCGTCACCATGGAGAACCCGAGAAACTCCTACATGTGGAGCACCAGCTTCTTCATTGCTTTGTGGAAAGACTTTCATTTGTTTTGCGCTGATTTTCAGGTGTGCACGTACGGCGGAGCCAGAGCCAAGTGGACACGTTTTGTAGCAAATTTTCCTGACATACAAAAGCTCAGCATCGAATGCGATCACAGCCACGAGCATGCAGCGTGGCGTTTTGCCACAGGGCCTGACGGCCAGCGAGTCTGGGCCACCAGCCTGGAAAGTCAATATCCTCGAAAATTATGCATAGCCGTCACCCAGATTGTCTTGGAGATTGCAGAAGCCCAGGGGCTCCAGTTGCTCGAGAGATCCATGCAAGACCTCCAAGGCCACCCCTTGCTTCAAAGCCAGCAGGCAACCATTTCCGTTGGAGGCCAACCATACAAGCGTAAGATTCCCCCTTTGGTCCCTGATTTTGATGCTGTTGTCACAGCCTTTGTTGCTGAACCAGCGGAGGTGCCATTTTCACACCTCTCTCGCATTGACAAACCCTTGCAGTTGATGTCACCTGCTTGTCAACCAATAGAAATTCCGGCCAAGTCACGACTTCTCCGGTTCTTCACCTCCTCTGAATCTTCTTCACGGGGGAGGGTGCAGCATTCAGAGTCGTCTTCAACTGATGGGATGACAGGAGATCATCATGCTGATTTTCCGTTCAGGGCAGTTTTTGGCCTGCCCTGGACGCCAGAGAGTTTCATCCAAAAAGCCTGCAAGATGGGTCATCCTGCAGTTAGTGACATGGGCATTCCGGAAGATCTGGACATGGCTTTGGACAAGCATATGGTCTGGTCGGACCAGCAGTTGGTCAAATACCGTGCGGATTGGTGCAGACAGTGGCTCAAAAGGGCCAGTGAACTGGAGCAGGCGGAGAAGCAAGACAGAATGGCCAGATCGGAGCATGTTCAAGCTAACACTGCTAACAAGCGGCTTCTGTTAACTCAAGAGATTTTGGAGAGCATTCAATACGAAGACATTGAAGCTTTGAAGTTTTTGAGAGAGGGAGCCACGCTTGCTGGCGAAATTGAAAAGTGTGGAGTCTTTGAGCAGCAGTTCAAGCCGTGTTTGATGACAGTTGAGCAGCTGGAAAATGGGGCCTCGAAAAGGAACCAGGCTGTCCTTGCCATGACCACGTCTTCTGGGGATGATGAGCTTGACAGACGTATGTTGCTTGAGACCCAGGAAGAAATCGACAGAGGTTGGGCGAAAGGCCCCTTTGCACTTAGCGATCTGCCCCCCGGGTCAGTGGTATCCCGGAGGTTTCCTTTGTCTCAGGCCAACAAAACCAGGATGATTGACGATTTTTCAATCAGTGGGGTGAACGACTCTTGCATCACACATTGCAAAATCAACCTGCATATGATTGACACCTTAGGAGCTGTTGTAAGGAAGTTCTTCAAGGGGTGTAAGTCCTCAGGCCTGGATAGTCAACTGTTGGGCAAGACGTTCGACCTGAAGAGTGCCTACAGACAAGTTCCAATTTGCACAGAGCACCTCAAATATGCCTTTTTCAGTGTCTACAACTGCGCAAAAGGGGCTGCTGAGATCTACCAGTTGGTCACCATACCTTTTGGAGCAACTCATTCTGTGTACTGCTTCCTGCGCCTGGCAAGGATGCTGCATTCCATAGCAGCCCGCGGACTTTACTTGATCAACACAAACTTCTACGATGATTTCGTGATCCTTTCGCGGCCGGATGCTGCATCTTCGGCCAGCCATAGCATGGAACTTTTGTTTCTGCTTACCGGATGGCACTACGCCAAAGAGGGGAAAAAGGCGACGCAGTTTGCCCACATCTGCCGGGCGCTTGGGGTGGAATTCGATTTCAGCAGATCCGAAGAAAGGCTGATGGCTGTGGCAAACACAGCCCAACGGAAGCAAGACCTGATAACCTCCATCACGGACATTCTGCAAACAGGGACACTAGCAAAGCACGAGGCCCTTGTTTTGAGAGGCCGACTGGGTTTCGCAGACTCCTTCATGCACGGTAGGCTGGGGAAGTTGATTTTGAAGAAACTCATCGACCATGCATACTCCCGCCAGAAGGAACTCGAGCCTGACACTGTACATGCGCTTCGGGCGATGAAAGCTCGCTTGGAGTCTGATGTGCCAATACTCGTTTCGGAATGCACCTTGGAACAGTGGTTTGTGTACACTGACGCAGCGTACAGCTCTGAAACACGAACTGGTGGTATCGGGGCCGTACTTGTTGACCAGGAAGCAAACTGCTGTGAATGGTTCGGTTTCCCTTTGAACTCTGGTGATTGTGACACTTTTGGAGCTGCATTGAAGGATACTATAATTTACGAGCTTGAACTTGCAGCGGCTGTGGTAGCACTCGCCTTCTGGAGAAACAGACTGAAAGGTAACCTCGCCGTTTGGTTTGGCGATAATGACAGTGTTCGCTTTGCTTTGATACGAGCCTGTGGGACTGGGCCTTGGGCCGAAGCTTTGCTGGAATACCACTTGACATTAGAAGCCACTTGCAACACCAAGGCCTGGTTCGCAAGAGTGGCCACTGAGGCCAACCTCAGCGACTATCCATCCAGACAGTGTGAACATCCTTTGTTGGTGGGGAGAAATGACCGGACCCGTAGAGCTTTGGCAGAGTTCGCTTCCTTGAATGATTTCGTTTCTGAACGTGTGAATGCCCACGGTGAAAGAAGGGGGACGAAAGACCTCGGCATCCCCCGTTCAAAAAGGGGCGCCTCAGAC